CCTGGGCTGCGAAAGTTTATGTGTTATTAAAAACTTGTAATTTTTTAAATCGTTTAGAGAGTAGCTAAACATCGCGTGGGAAATAAACCAACGAGATAGCGTTGATTATTCTGTCCTCTTTGTAAAACAATCGCGTCGTCGGAAGACATTCACATTATCATGGTGAGTGACAGGTGCGTACAATTAAGTACATCTCAGAGCAGGATATAAAACCAAGGTCTATTTTAGAATGGCATTATTGTTATCTCATAAAGTAGACAAGACGGTATAGTATCGGGCAGATATCGTATCTCATTATACGGCAATTACATCTCGTTTTATTAGCTCGTCACTGCGAAAAGCAGCATGAAATGTTGAAATTGTAACGGATTTAGAACATTGTAATACCTATCATGTGCAAACAAATAGGCATAGATAGTCGAGTTTATTTTACTTCATATTATCATGCTCTCTTGTTGACGAGTTGTAATTAGAGATTTATAATCCCCGCGAAGGGCGTCGAGCGAAAACTCCTCGAGAGGAAAACCCACAGACAGAATAAGCCGGCAGAATGCGCCGATCGTCATTCTTGGATTGTAACTGCGACAGGCGCAATCGATCCGAGTGAAAAAGCACGAGGTGCAGAAACAAGCAACACAGTACTCGTTCGCGCATTTCCTGACGAGGTCGAAACAGACGCACGTTCGTTCCGCGCGTTCACCAAGTTGTACGGAAATGGCACGATACGCCGAGAACGTGTACTACGAAACTGCCATTAAACTGACGCGTGAAGCTGCCCAGGTGAGCATTCATCTCGCAATCTCATCTCTGGTCAGAGTGAAGACTCCACGTGGTCTTCCAGAGTGAGATTCCACTCCAAAAAATTTAGAGAATAGATTTTAGAATATAACTATTATATGTGTGAAACAAAGTGTACAATATCGTCGACCACGAGGCATTGAAAATCGCTATTATGACGCGATAAGTACAATGTAAAACAAATCAGGGTATACTGAACAAGTAAAAGTCATGCATAGGATTAATAACGCTAATTGTAAGAGTGCACGCGAGACTAGCTCATAAGAGAACACACTTTGCAGTTTGAGAGTAGCAGCGGACCTGACCAAACCTAATACTATGTTGTAAGTGCATTAAGAAATAACATGCGTGTACTGAATAGTAAGTATTATTTATATTTTATTCCGATTTTCCGATGATCAGATCAATCTGACATTCAGATTGATAAACAGCATTGTACACACATCATGATTATCTGATGATAAGTAATTACGTAATCAATACGTTGTAGCCATATATGATTCGAATATAAATGTTTAATGTAATCGTATTAATTAAATAAATAAGACTTCCGTCTAAAATTAATAAGTTATAACTGTATAAAAATAATGTTACTTACTACGTAACATTAAAAATGTAATATTAATACGCATAATTGCGTAAGGTATTACGATTTGTATAAAAAAAGTCAATATGTATACGAATAAATACAGGGAGTAAAAAAAATAATATCGGGCATGTTATCTTTCTTTTTATTACACATTATCTAACAAACGTCAAAGTTCCCAAGACAAACTTTTATGGACCCTCAGCTGATAGCAATGAGAAAAATGCGCGTGTTTTCTCAAATGTTGAGATTTATTTACCCGCATTACTTGCGTCAGATATCACTAATTGCAGAGATAAGGGCAGTTAACCACCAATCCTCATTTATAGCGGTTAGTCGACGGTGAATCGATCAGTCGTACCGGCACGATTCTCAACGACGACGGCTATCATCATGTCGAGTGATCTGGACATTGCAAAGTGCTTCGAATTCGCGAAAGAACTCACGTTGCAAGCTGGTAAGGTGAGTCACAGCTGATGATGTATAAAGATAAGCGGAAGGATTGCACAATTCTGGAGATAAAATTGAATGACGAAGTTGCAGCTGTGGGTATATATTTATAATATATTTTTCATAAGTTCAGGAATAATTTAAAATCAATTCAAGATTTTTAGATGTTGCGTGTTACAGATGTGCCGTGTAAGAATTATTTTAAATTAATTCAGATTTAGATTAAGGTTTAAACTAAAAACATTTAAACTAAAAACTTTAATCTAAATCTGAATTAATCCAAAATAATTCTTACACGGCACATCTATAACACACGCAACATCTAAAAATCTTAAATTAATCTTAAATTATTCTTGAACCTATGTAAAATATATTATTGATGGTAATATCTTTCAAAATCCTTAAAGCAGAATAAATTTAATATCTTATATAAATCTCCTAAAAATGATTTTAAAAAATCAATGCACAAGTTAAAGCTTCACTCTTCCTAAATTTTTAGCAAGATATATATTTATATTAATCATTAATAATCATAACCTTTTTAAATATAACTTTTCTTCCTTTTTTTGTATGATACATATATGTAATTATGTATTTATTTATTTCATATTATTTATGTGCATAGAGACTCAAGTGTAGTTTCGGGGACGAAAAAGTTGGATATGACAAAACATATATGCATTTCGTAACAGAGCATGATCAAAAAATTGAGAAAATACTTATTGATGGCCTATCCAGGGAGTTTCCTGATCATAAGTGAGTTGTAATCGTATAAAAACGGACTACCTGGAAATCAGTAGATAACCAGACTTCAATTTAACTTAATAATTAATCCTATAATATTAAATAATCCTAAGATCACATTATATTCTACTAATATAAGGATGTTCAAATATCTTACATTTCAGGATTATCGCGGAAGAAACAACTGGGACGGGGGAAATGCCAGAATTGACTGATGCACCGACATGGTTCATCGATCCAATCGACGGAACCCTCAATTTCCTTCATTTATTTCCTCATTTCTGTATATCCGTAGGTTTGACGGTTCGCAAAGAGCT